TTGTAGAGAGCGATGAGGTCTCCCCTCAGCCTCCTTTTCTCCAGGCTGAACAACCCCAGTTCCCTCAGCCGCTCCTCAGCAGACTCATAAGATTTGTAGCACCTTTTTAAAATTTGGTCATCTATCTTGTTCTGTCATTTTGATCCCATCCATTATTTTTCCCTTCTAGCTACCCGACACCTTTATACAGGACTGCTGCTGCAAGCATGTTGCTGTACTCTCCTGAGTAAAAGCTGCATAAGAATAGGACGTTGAATAGATGTGGCTGTAAGCAGGAGTAGGACTATAAAGCATGAGCACTACAAGCAGCACTAGAAAGATCATAAGCTACTTAAAAAAAAAAACCAAACCTATATATTACAGGGCTTTATATAACTGTATGTTACCCCTGAGCTTATTTACAGTGATGCCTCGTCTGTGTCTTCCAGAAAGCCACATGCCAAAGGACAGGAAGACATAAATTATTTCTGCCTAAAAAGAAGCTAATATTTGGGCTGGAGATTCAATTCAGTGGAGTTAAGAATGATTTAGGGCGCCTGAACCTCATTATGCTTGTCCTTTCCTAGTTAGCGGGGCAAAGCCACGAGGAACAGCGATGAGCAGAGCCACCTAGTGAAGCCAGGAGGGATAAAGCAAGTCTTTACAGTGATCTCTGCTTTTGAAAAGGGGAAAAGTATTATTCAAATCACATTTAAGTTGGTAAGTGGCTCTAGATCTGGTTCAGACCTGCAACGTTTTAATAGCATTTCCAAATTAAATATATGGATACATATTTGATCAGCTTTCATAAATTAGTCCTCTTTCCCCTTCTACCCATTTTTTTCTGCAGGTAAAGGAAAATCTGGAATCAAGAGTAATAGATTTTTCTGATCTTTTCATGTTTGCCCTCCCCATTTTCCCAACTGGGGTGACTAGCTGACTTGTCCTTGTCTTCATTTCAGTTCCTCTTCCCTCCAGTCCACCTATAAGTGCACCAATAGCTTCTCTTTGCTACTTGCGTTTTCTTGCAGGCAGCAAAAATAGCAAAGGTTCCTACATGTAATATATATAATGGCTTGAAATCAATTGACAAAGTTAAATTCAGCAAAGCACCCTCTTGTATTAAAATTTAAAGCATCATTTAGTATATTTGCTATTTAAACAGATACACTAAAACCCCTTGTGTAAAAATAACTTTAATGACATTTCAAAGTCAGCCATCTAGAAAATATCTTAGTTATATTGTGCAGTGAAGACCAAAATCAGCCTCTGCCTTTGTGGATCTAGAGGGGCCCTGGTTTCCCATTAGTGCTGCGTAACGGGGCTTGTGCTCCTGATCACACGATGGCTGGAAGAAGCACGTGGCCATGCAGCCCTTGTCTGGATCTGTCCCTGTATTACAAACAGACCAAAGGGAAGAGGAAAAAAACAAAGCAGAGAGGTGCTAGAAATTCAAAGCACGGTTAGGAACCTGGCTTGCTAAAATCAGTGAAATTTTGCCTCTGAGTGAGAAAGGGGATTTCACCTGAGGTCTGTTGTGCGTGAGCTCAGGGCTCTCCTCCCTGCCATACACCATCCTCCAGAAGGACCCTTTTTCCCAGGGGATCCAGAAGGAGCACTGGGAAGTTTTGCTTATGCCAGCATTAACCAGGCGTCAGGCAGGCTGGATCACCTTAGCAGGCACGCAAGGTGTTTGTCCAGCCCCCTCCAGATTAGCTTATGGAATGGATACCATGTCCCACCCAGCATCAGGAACATTCATAACCCACGACGGGACATGTCACGGTCTACATGATTCAAGCAGTGACTCAGACAAAGGCCGTGCATTCGTGACAGCTTTCATGGGGTCATGGCATTTAGAGAGAAGAGCCACCTCCCAGAGAGATCACCATGTCTATTGATTCCTCTCTTCAAACTCCAGCCAGTCTTTCCAGAAAGACGTATTTGATATTAAACTGATCGTTACACTTGATCTTAGCCCAAAAGGCACTTCCCCGGCTGCTGGATACACAATATTTGTGCATAAACAAAATCTTTCTGCCTTTCAGTCCAGCCTCTTTTCCTAAGCCTTGTCTCATTCGATAATTTACCAGGTGTTCCAGAAAACACTCTGGCTTCAGCAGTAAGGAACTTTAATTGATTTGCTGATGTCTGGAGCTATATTAAAATATAGAGTCAAATGCTAGAGCGGATTTGCTGCTGTGTGCATGTAAACTTCAGAAAGCTGACTACGGGCCAGCAGCTCTCCCCACCACCCCTTCGTTAGCACGGGGTGGTGCAGAATATAAATTCCTGTGGCTTTGAGCACCTGCAGCATGGCTGGGGCTGACCTTCCGCTTGAACTGCTCCCGGTAAAACTGCAGCAGAAACCCAGCAGGAAGGAGGTTGAGCTGCTTGGAGCTGTCATTAACTTCCAGGTGGGCTTTGAATTAATCGGACAGCCAGTAGCGCCTGCCAACAAAACGGACTCCTTCCCGGCTCTACAGCAGCGTGGTAATGGGTATGCGAGGGTTGGGGATCACGGGCCAGGGAGGCCCAGGCTCTAGCTGTGAAGATAAGGCAGGCAAGGAGGTGAGAGCATCGCTTATCTCTGCCTGCACCACGGCTCATGTCAGCTCTGGTGTAGCACCTTTCATGGGGAGCTACCACCCCGCACAGAGGGACACGGGTGCCATCCAGGTCGAACCCGTGGGACGCTGCAGCGGCTGACACCAGTGTTTCCTGCCCCTTCTTTTAAATCTTGGCATTGTGGTCCTGCAGCGGGAGGAGAGGGACAGGTGAGAGCCTCCAGGGGCCGAGGGAAGGAAAGCTGCCTCTGCACATCACTGTCAGTATTTATTTATTTATCATGTAACGGTAGTTACAGCTGGAAAAAGCAGGAGGGGGATTGCTGCCAGACAATGTATCTAGGGAGATGTTTTGTTAGTGCCACCAGCTGTCCCCTTGGAATAGAGAGCACGTCTGAACCATGACTCACACAGCCAGTATCTTATTTCACTCTCACATCTATCCAAAAATGTTCCTCCAGCCCGAGAATGCAATAAAAGCCTCCTTTTCCTGGCAAGGACTTTTGCAGCCAGGTCTCTTCTACTGCCCCTTTGTGATCAGGAAAGGAAAACAGCCATTTTAACTTCAGAAAAGTAACTCCTGCTGCAATTAGAGGAACAGCAGGTGACCTGCCTGGGAGATAGGTCAAGGCAATACAGTACTCTCTATGTGAGAGTTATTTAAGATGGGGAAATGTCATCAGATTGTTCAGAGATGCCTCTAAAGTCAGTGGAGAAACTCTTCTGGACTTGGATGGATGCAGGATCAGACCTTAACAGCCAAAACTCCAGCAAAGCCAGAAAGCTTCTTCTAGAACAGGCTGTCATCTTAGCCTTGCCTTGCTAGCAGTCGCCTTTGCTGGCAGTGTTCCCGTGCAGACAGCTCTTCAAATCTTACTGCAGGGTGGTGTCTCTGAGGTCTACTCCTCCCCATTACTTCATCTAGCTCTGCTCAGGCATTCTGGCCTCGATGCCCCGACACAGTGAAGCCAGACCTTTTAAAATAGAGGGGGACAGACTGCCAGATGTTGCGGGACACATCTGTCACGGGATGGAGAACGGGCTCGGGCAGGAAACCACAGCTTGGGTTTGTGCCACTGAGATGGAGTCGGCTCA